ACAATGCGGATGATTGTGACCTTCTCTTAATAGTTTTTACCTTCCAACCCCCAACTAACACTGCTCAATGAGAAAGCAGGCCACAGAAATCAGGCGGTTTGTACAATCCGCAAGCTCACTCGACCGGCAGCTCACCGCCACCACACTAAAAATATCACATAAGCCATGTGAGGAATTCAGAGTCATTGTGGATTTTAACAGATATCGGGGAGCAAATGCTTCCAACGATTCTTTGAATTACTACAATATGTTGATGATGAGATTTTGTCCAACCGTTTCTTTCCTTCATTAATAAAATTGTCCAAAACAAACAAAACCAAAGAAGTATGGAATTTGTGTGAGGAACCTAAAAGTAAGAAATACTAACAAAATTTGACAGATTAGCTTCATGAAGTTTATCAATGAACAACAACGAAAATTTCTTTTTTTTTTTTTTGGTGACACTTTACAATAAGTTTCAATTCTTTAAAGGAGTAGTTCACTTTTGAAAAAACTTTTGCTGATAATTTACTCACCCCCATGTCATCCAAGATGTCCATGTCTTTCTTTCTTCAGTCGAAAAGAAATTAAGGTTTTTGATGAAAACATTCCAGGATTTTTCTCCATATAATGGACTTTACTGGTAACCAAACGGATCAAGGTCCAAAAGACCGTTTCAGTGCAAACTGCAAACTGTTCAAAGGGCTTTAAATGATTCCAGATGATGAATAAGGGTCTTATCAAGCGAAACTATCGCTCATTTAATAAATAAATAACAAAGTTTAAGTTTTATAAGCTCAAATGTTCGCCTTGCTCTGTTTAGGGACGCACGTTTGTGACTCTCCTGTTCGAACTCGTTCATCAAAACGAACAAATCTTTTTCCGAGTCATTTGGTTCATTCGAAAAACTAAACGAACTTTAGTTCAAACAAAACGAATTTTGATAAACGAGTTCGAACAGGAGAGTCACGAACGCGCATCACAGAGCACGGCGAACATTTGAGCTTATAAAACTTAAACTTTGTTATTTATTTATTTATTAAATGAGTGATTGTTTCGCTTGATAAGACCCTTACTCATCGTCTGGAATCGTTTAAAGCCCTTTCAACAGTTTGCAGTTTGCACTGAAACCTGGACCTTGAAACGTTTGTTTCCCATTGAAGTGCATTAAAGTGAGACCACTGATCAAACTATATAAAGCTATTATCGGCCCACAATGACCGGCGCCCGATCAATCGGAGCACTACAAATACTGACAATAAATGCAGGTATGGTCTATATGTAACCCTAGTATACAGTTCTGGGTATCTACACTATTATTCATAAAAAATGAGAAGGAAACTAACACAAAAAGAACATTAAGATCGAAAAGAGCAGATGTTTCTATGAGTCCTTCTGATTGCAGAAATCACAAACTGCTGAAACTGCCTCTTCAACATAAACCAAAAGCAGACTTTAAAACCAAAACCAAATGCCAGTGCTTTGATACCCGTCACAAGAGCTCTGTAAATGATGGGTTTTAAGGAACTGTACAGATCAAATTGAGATTAACAATCAAGAGAATCGTCCACCCATTTTAACAATATCTAAAACAGAACGTCCCACTAGCCCGTTAAGAAGCCACGCACATTGAATTGCATGCTAGTGCTTCATGCCACCCAATCTCTACAATCACCACATTATTTAAATGGATACTCCACTTTTTTTGGTAAAAAGCTCATTTTACAACTCCCTCGGAGTTAAACAGTTGAGTTTTACCGTTTTCGAATCCAATTTTCTGATATTTTGAAGAATATCAGTAACCAGACAGTTTCTGGTCTCATTGACTTCCATAGTAGGAAAAAATATGGAAATCAATGAGACCAGAATCTGTCTGGTTCCTGATATTCTTCAAAATATCAGAAAAATCGGCTGAATGGATTCGAAAATGGTAAAACTCAACTGTTTAACTCTGGGGGAGTTGTAAAATGAGCCTATTTCCAAAAAAGTGGAGTATCCCTTTAACATTTGACACCCAATGCTGCTAAAAACAAAAAGAAAGGGTCCTCAATCCAATGCAGTTAACCCATCACTATTCAGCTTTACCTCAAGCCTCATGGCTTTTTTACACAGGCCAGAGTAAATTTGAGTTGAGAACCCTCGCGCATGTCAACCAATGAACCATAACTCACCTACCACTGACACCAGGTATGGATGGCAAAAACCCTTCAGGGAGCCAACAGGTGGTGCCCTTCATGTCAAGCTCGGGTTCCCTCCAATTGTTGGCTCATATCTATTCTTGGACTTCGTCAGTGAGACTGCTGGACGTAGACTAATCAAACTGGGATGGGGTAATCCTTGGTCATCGCCACTTAATTCTCTCGTTAGCGCAGAGGAGAGCAGCTGTAACGAAGGAGTTCTGGCACAGCGGTAATAAGAGTATTTATTTTTATTGGAGCACTCTGTTGTTTCAGGCCTTCAGCTTGGGTCTGGGATCTCTCCGCAGTGATTTGGTATAATGACATCCAAGAGGAAACCTTAATTAGCCGATCCAAATATGAGATGCAGTTTATCCTGTTATACGTTGCCCTCTGGGTCTGAACAAGTCGGGTTAAGTATCACAAAAAGACCAAGTGTAATCAACGTAGATCAAATACCATAGCTACAACGGGTCTCAGCACATACAGTATATCTGATTACAGCACATCATGTAATAAACATGCAAATCTAAATGAAATCAAACCTACGCATTTTCATAATCGACTTATCGATGAGTTCTCTGAATGATTAGTCAATCTTACAGACTGACTTCCCACGTCTCTTTGACATTAAGATTGAATTTGCATTACATTTACAGACATTTGTGATTACAGGATGAATTTGGTTTTACATCAAAGCGAGCAGTTTCTCACAGACAAATATTTTAGAGCTGAGCTACCAGAACAATTTATATTCAACACAAAAAAGTCTACAATTTAATTATTTCCCTGACTTTTCTAGGCCTGGAAATCACAGCATTAAAATTCCCTGTGGGAGCAGTGATTGTATCATTAGGCTGATTTAGGGTCACGTCCACCAGACCCCGATCAAACGCATTTCTTTAGGGACATATTCTTGTTTAGAAGCAGTAAGATAGATTGCAAGAGAAGGAACGCAATAGTCTAAAGATGCTTTTTAAAAATCGTAACTATCTTAGCACGACGAGATGCCTTAAAAGCGAACCACTTATGCAGTGAGGCATCATGCATTGTGCACACAGACCAGCATTTAAAAAAAATAATAATAATCATAGCATTCAATATGGTAACTGACAGACATTCATCAAAAAGTCTAAAAATCGTTAACCTTTTATTGCACAAAACTATCTTAAGTCCAATAAAAATTCTCTTGACAAGTGCTTTTTACATTTAAAATTTTCTTTGAGTAATGTTGCAGTTTGATTGATCACGAAAAAGGCCTGCAAAGTTACAAAGCATAAAGTCACTAGCCTGGTTTGAGTTGCTTTAGTAGTGTATTCAAACTAGAGCCAGACCGTTATTATCGGCCGATATTAGGCATTTTCCAAACTATCGTGTCGGCAGTTATAATGGCCGATAAATGAATATTTCAAAAATAAAATAAAAACGGACGAAACACGCTTGAACCATGTCATGAGTGTTGGAGTTGTATAGTTTGTCCTCCAGAGGGCACTCTACACCGTTCCTGTTGGCAACACTCGTTGAGTTGGTCACGATACATACATTGCTTGAATAACAATTAAAAGAACATCCCCATCAGTTCTCTTAACTCAAATAAGCATGACACAATTTGTGACTATCATGTCCAGTTTTGCTGCTGTTAAATAAGCCGAAAGTGAAGCGGAGTTAGCTAGTAATAGTTAAGCTACGTTGTTACAGTGTAGTTGACTGACTGTCCTTTTAACTTTTGACAATGTGACAAAAGTATTTCTTTAATAGCGCGTGACAGTTATAGCAATGAGACGTACCATCTCTCCTTGGCCTGTTATATTGAAAATGTATGTTTTACAATTTGCAGTATGACATAATCCATTATGGCTCATCATAGACTAGCTAACCATAAAGCTAGCTAATGCCACTATCATCAGTCTGTTATCAAGTTTCTTTTTAAAATGCATTATCATATTATTTTAGTTAAAACTCATAATAACTAATGTTAGGGAAATCTGTTAATATTTTGTTGCGCGTTTCTTAAAAAAAAAAAAAAAAAAAAAAAAAAAAAAAAAAAAAAAAAAAAAAAAAAAAAATCGGCCGATATATCGGAATATCGGATTTTAAAACCAAAAAAAAATATTTGTATTGGCATTCAAAATCCTTTATTGGTCGGGCTTTAGTTCAAACTAAGTTAAATTTGAGATATCTGAAACACACTCAAAGCATTTGACCAATCACAACACACTGATCCGACGTTACAAACAGACTGGGAAAAAAAAAAGTGATGGAAAAATGCAAAAAAGGTGAAAATTTTGAATATTCAAGAATGAAAACTAGACCCCAAAACATGAAAAGTACACCCCAAAATGGCATATTAGGTCCCATTTAATGCGGTGGATTTGAAATACAAGTTTAGCTTTGGTGAAAGTAGTGGTGCTGATTTAAGAGGATGAATTTACAGTTGCTCAGAGTTACAATAGCGCACTAAAACCAGCATGCCAAAATCCTCTGAGGAGTAGCATTCCCTAAATTACAACCAAATCTTGAGATATTTGCACATAACAAACATAAGTATGTATAAAAAAAAATAAAACTCCACTCAACCACTCAACAAGCTCCAGATGCAACAAAACTCAGTTAACACTCGTACACACAAAAGCATGTTCAGACAGTGTGGAACGAAAGCTAAAAATAGCTGACCTGCATCTGTAATGCAACCGGACATAATCATCTCATGGCCCTTGATCTGGTGAAAGTCACCCATTCAAATTTGGGATTCAATTCGAAAACAAAATGCAGCAGGGCTGTGAAATCAGATACACAAATTAATGAAGCAGCACTTCCGTCAGTGGAGCGTAAAGGACAACTGACCTGCAATCAGGAATCCTCTAGGGGAGTGCGAGATGAAGTGTTTCGGGTAATGTTTGTGAAGCCGGTAGTCTTTCTCGCTCCGTGACCGAGTGCGATCCGAAGCACGGTCCGAGAATTCGGAACTGGGCCAGGCCCTGCGCAGAGTGGTGCTGCGTGTCTTTTTCATGATGAGCCCGGATAAACGCAGCGGCTCTTGAGATCACACCACTTCGGACATGGCGGGACACGGCTCGATCCTTTCTTCATCCAACAGTCAGGAAAATGATCACAGATGTTTGGGTTGTGAAGAGGTTGTGGAATCCCTTAGGAATGGTTTCGGGTCCTCCCGATCCTAAATCCGCCAGATGCAGATGCATCCAGCGACGCATCACCCTCCACGCACCTAATCCTGGCTTACGGTTTCTGGCTTCACGCACAAACAGAGGCACACTACTCACACATGCTCCGCGATCGCAGCGGCATGTGGACGGAAGACGAGGAGGTGTGTGGGAGTGGAGGGAGGAAGGGTACGAGGGGACTCATGTGGGAGAGTTGGAAGGAGGGGATTTCAGAGGGGTCGGGAGTGGGGGGCTCCACCGTGAGAAGAACCCCAGATTCAGACAAAAGATCAATTCAGCCAAGCTTCAATCCACTAGTGCAGAGCCGTCGAGACAAAAGAAACCCCCAAAAACAAGTTAGACTTTTAGGACCAGAAACCTCAGGCTGTTGTCTTCGTGTGCAGGGCAGGGGTCCTTCAACCATGCAGAGGGTGTCTATATATATATATATAGGAGACACAAGATCCAAGTCCTCCCCCTTCTCTGATTCAAATCCAATCCTGGAAAAAGACCGCTCAATCTGTTAAGAAAAATAACAGAAAATCCCACTTGGGTGCGTTGAAAGACTTGGGAGATTTCTGATGCATTCTATAGTCCGCGACCAAGATAAACACTGATGCGAGTGAAAGCACGTAGAAGAACAGTCCGTCTTCTGGTCTTTCTCCAGAGTGTGTTGTCTGACTTTCCTCTCTGCATGCGCACGCTGATGGTTTGAGGAGATGTCCCTCTCCAGACTTGTTGATCCAGTCAGGGTGAGCTTCTCACCACAAAACCCTCAGGGTTTTCTCTCGCACTTTCTGGCAGTCCGCCCAGCCTATGGAAACACTCCGCTTTATTTACATACGCTGGCTCGCAAGCTCCCCAGACAGCCGAAACGTTGCCGTAAAGAGTGTGTGAGAAATGAGGACGAGGAGTCCCTTATCTGCAAGCGACGAATGACAAAAGAGTTGAGTCTCCTCTCTCACTTTTCATACCAAAAATCCTTCTTCCTCCAGGCGGAGTCATTCACAATTCCCACTCGTTCCTGTCAGTCGAAGCACCAGCTGCAAGAGAAATTCCTCTGGAATGCAATTAAAGAGATCCCTCCACGGCAGCGCGAGCGGGAAAAAGGGGTTCGGGGAGCAGTGTGAAATGGTGAATGGAGATCTCCCTCCCTCCTTCCCTTTCTCTCTCTCGCTCTGTCACGCTGTCATCCCTCCCTACCTCTCCTGACAGGAGCGCAATAGCGCAGCTGTTAGAGAACACAGCCAATCACTCAATGGCAGCAAACGGAGAGAGAACGTGACAGGATCTCTCTCTTTCATGCACTGCAAACGTACGTTGCATTATTTAGTCAGAGTTGCAGACGGGAATACGACAATCACAGCGATACACACAAATTATTATTATTTTTTATTTATTTCGAAAGGCTTTTATGTGCTGATTGTTCTATTGTTTTTAGTATTCTGTAGCTAGTATTGTTCTTTTATGTAGAAACTTTGAGATTCTTTGGAATGAAAAGTGCGTTATAAATAAAATCTATTATTATTATTAAAAAGAACAATGATGTATATTTACGAGTGAATATTATCCATACACACAAGGATATTAGTTCCAAATAAAAGATAAACATAATTAGAAATAAAAGGCATTTCAATTAAAATAAAAAGCATGCATATAGGCCACTGTTTGTGTCCCAGGGATTTTTATTAATAAAATTATCAAATAAAAATAAATACATTTTTTTGTTTGTTGAAGGTCACATTAAAACGGTCTCAGAAACTTTTTAGCATGCCTTTATTTACACTTTAAATTAAAAAAAAATATATCTTGAATAATTACATGATTAAAAACGCTAAATATACGGTAACATCTAAAATATCTTTGTTGTTTTTATCGTTATCATCATTAAACGTATATAAAACATTTTTATATTCAATGTGTGAAGTTCAAAAATATCATTTTTACCACAACAGTGAAGAGAAAATGATGGCATGTAATTTCCAAACAAGCCACACACACACAATTTTAAAATAAACACTTGTTTATGTACCCGTCAAATTCTATGAAGTTAATCATTTCACAAATCAGACATTTTAATCCAAAACTTTTTAAACCTTCAATCCACAAATAGCTATACAACTCAAGTATGAACCTAAAAAGAGTGAAGCCCTACTTAGATATTGTCGCGGGGTGGGTGCAGGCAGAAGAACAGGCGGATTCCCAAGAGCTCCAATACAAAGTTTTAATACAAATAAACTGAAGCCAGGCAGGCAGAACACAGCGTAACATTCAACATTGACCGACAAACACCGACTGAAGGAGGGAGAACTAAATACACAGGGGAATCAGGACTAAATGAGGTGAACACAGGTGGAAATGATAATGACAGGACGCGGAACAGGTGGCTGATTGGGGAGTGAGTCCGGGAGAGGAACAAAAGGATCCGGGGAAGTGTGGTGCAGATGACGGGACACACTGGTGAGGACGACAGACTGTGACAGATATATTATTGTATTTCATTGTATGTATTTTTCACTGAAGTAGATTTTTAAATAATAAAAATAAAAAAGATTTATATATATATATATATATATATATATATATATATATATATACATAAATCTTTTTTATTTTATTATTTAAAAATCTACTTTAATATATATATATATATATATATATATATATATATATATATATATTAAAAAATGTATATATATATATATATATATATATATACAATTTTTATTTTTATTCATTTTTGGGGCATTTATTGCATTAATTTAGATATACCTGCAATATAATGTAATTAATTTAAAGCATGACTTTATATTTTAGGTATTCATTTCTGTATTTTTGAATGTTTAAACTGTAGATTATATTGAATACTTGGCATTTTTTACTTTTTACTTTAATTGGCAGATTTTGTATCTTTTTTTCCATTATTGTTTGCTTTCTTGTCTTATTTTCTTCTATTGTATTGTTGTAAAAAAAATAAAATTATAAAATAAAAACACAATCCCTAATACCGATCCCTAAAGGGTGCATACTGTACAGTTTAGGAGTTATTCAGGCACTACAAATACATACTTTTAAGAGTACTGCCACGGTGACAAACTGTTATACTTCTAAAGGTAACATTTTAGAAAAGTCCAACATTGCTCACAATAAAGTAAACGCCCTAAAACACAATTTATAAAGGATCTCTAAGACACTGTGAGCGTGAGATGCTTTTCCATTTTGTTTCTAAATAATTTGGCCCTAGTTTTCCACAAGTTGTATTTAACAAGGCTGCCTTCGCTCTCGTTCCCCCTCCTCGGGGCAGATCATTAATCAGGGGGAGGACTCCCTCTCTGTCCGGCCAAATGAGCAGCGAGAAACTAATGTTTTTCCAATAAGCCACAGATCAGAGGTCACCCATCCATAAAGCAGACTTCCACCATCTTTCTCATTAATATCAACAATCTGTGCCCATGGCTTGCTGCAAACAAATTGACATCAGCGTGTCCTGAATGAAATCAGACTATGATTCAAAGAATGGAACAAATAATTTGTTACTATTTATGATGAACCAAACGGTGTCTTTTGAGCTTTTGGAAATGGTTTGCCTGAGCGCTGATGGTTTGCAGGCCGAGGGTGTTGGGTTACAGAGCTCTTAATAGAGCAGATTCATGGAGAGCAGAAACCTGCTGTAGGTCAAACTAACCCTTGGCTCACTAGTACAGGCTTTGCAGGAGTCTTGGCAAATGCACGTTTACAACTTTCCATGAGGTCTGGACAGTTTCGAGGAAGACAACACTCCTACTGTAACTAGATTTATCTAGTGGGATGTAGAGCATAGAGCTAGCAACACCAAGGGTTCGATTCCAAGGGAATTAATACGTAGAATGCATTAAAAGACCCTTTTGCAAAAAAAGCGTCAGCCAAACACATAAACACAAATGTATCTTTCAGATTGTCACCATTTGCATTTAATATTCTCTGACCAATTGCAACACATCAACACCAGTTGTTTTTCCTGGACATCTTGGCACAACAGTTTCACTGGGAGGCCCTCCGCTGTCATTTCATGCCTTGCAAACCCTTAACGCTCCATTCCTCCATGGCTCTCAGTGTCTGGTTATCTCAAGCCCGGGCCACGGTGCCAGTTCTCAAGGTCCGAGTTCACATTTCCTGGGTCTGTTGTGGCTCATATTTCTTGTTGTGTTATGTCAGGGCCGCCAGTGATGACAGGAACGCAGACGAGGGCCAACGGAGCACATCTTTCCTTCCAGAGAAAGCTGACAGCGTGACCCGCTGAGGGTGTTGGTTGGGTGTAGCACAACACATGGGGTGGCCAGTCTAAGACGGCGCAGTCTTAAAACAACAAATTGAAATAATGATAATCGACGATGAATAGCAACAACAAAATGTGGGTCTTTGCATTGAGCACTGAGAACCGCAGTTATTGATCTCGGCATAAATACATGGAAAAGTAGTGAAAAGTTTACTTGCATTACCATTTAAATGTTTGGGCAGGGTCAGTAAGATCGTTTTGTTAAAAAAATGAACTAGGCCATTTAGTAGGAACACGTTCAATTGATCCCAAATGACCACCCCTATCTTTAAAGGGGGAGATAATTCAAACCCGAATTGTTAAAGACCGATTTCTATTCTGCCCTGTCTTTCTAAGGTTTTTGAATAAACTGATCACTAACTACTTCGAATAAAATCACAGTCTTTCCGACATGCAATCGAAGTCACAAACGACATCAAATCTGCCATTGATCGCAAATATTTCTGTGCAGCAGTTTTTATAGACCTGGCCAAGGCTTTTGACTTTGTCAAACACACCATTCTTATTGGTAGGCTAAGAAGTATGGGTCTCTCAAATCACTGCCTCACATTGTTCAGTAATTATTTCACAGACAGACTTCAGTGTGTTAAATCAGAGGGCTTGCTATCTAGCCCACTGGCTGTCTCGACGGGGGTGCCACAAGGTTCAATTCTCGGCCCGATATCATTTTCGGTCTACATCAACGACGTGGTAATGGCTGCAAGTGACCATTCGATACATCTATTTGCTGACGATACTATTCTTTACACCTACAGCCCATCTATGAATACCATGTTAGACAGCCTCCAAGTGAGTTAACAGCATTCATTCTGTGGTCTCCAACTAAATTTAAACTCCAGCAACTCCATCCTCTTTGACGTCATAGTTCCCCACTTTGAAAAAAAGTCGTTTGCTGAGTCTGGTGTCAATGAAAGCTTTTATTGGACTAACAAGGACGTTTTCAGTTCTGAAACTTACAGGATATTCTTAAAATATGATGACCTCTTAGATGTCAAAAACTCAAGGAAAATTTGATTTCTCAGTTCATCACCCCTTTAACTTCAACAAAATTCAGCTTTGCCACCAATTACATTTTAAAATATATTCAAATAGAAGTTATTTTAAATTGTAATATTATATTTTGACATAATAAATGCAGCACTGGTGATCCTAAAAGCCTTCTTTCAAATATGATAATTAAGCCTCACAAAATTGCCATCTGATTTAGTACCTTTACCATCTAATAGTATAACTATAATATATGGTGTCTTCGTGTCTCTTCATTTCAAGACGATGTCATTGGGTTCCATCGAACCATTGTCAGTTTGTTCCTGTCCTCTCTGAGTGACCGATCCCACACTTGTACTAGGCTGCTGCAGGTTTTTTTTTTCATGAAATTCATAGCACGCACCAATGTAGCAGCCAGACCCCCCAATGCATGAGAAAAACATGTTCTGAATTATCAACCCTACCCCCCACTTTCAAACCATACTGTTTTCCTTCTCTCTCACCCTCTTTTCTTTCAGGATCATCACAGTCTCCTCCTCCCTCTTCTCGGCACCCCATACTGTAAGAAACACGCCGCTGATCCTCTCACGCCAAACAATCCCAAACACACCTTCATTAGTGAGTGTCAGAAAGCGCTCCAAGCTACACAGACAGCTCTGTTTGCCCATATGTAAGCCATTCCACCGCCAAAAATACCACAAATCACTCTTATGCTCACCATTGTAATGAGACAATTGGACAAGCTCTTATCTGACGATAGGAATTGGTGTGTTGAAACTTAGTTGCCTTTTATTTTACACCAGCCTGAACATGCAATCACATAATGACTTTGGACTACAGATTTCAAAAGATTTCACCAATGCTCCAAATCAAAGTATAATTAACAAGAAAACCACTCACTGCTGTCGATTTCATTTTTTGTTGACCTGAATAATTTTGAAAAAACCTTCATTGAGAAATACTTAAAAACTGCATTATATTTGTTAATTTTTTTGGGTAAAGGTAAAATTCACCGATATACGTTAACTTCACGCAGCCGCC